TATATATATATAGATATATAGATATTTACTTTTCTATTTGACTTGAAAAAAAACAATAGATAAATTGATTAAGATAAAAAAAAATTAGTTCTTGTGAATAACGTGATAATGACTTTTAAAAAATAATAATAGAAAATAAATTGAAACGATTTAATTTAAGCTGGTTTGATTAATACAATAATTGATTTTATTTGTTGGCACTACGATGAGAGATGTTTTTCACTAACAAAATTTGTGGATGCACAATTGGTGATTAATTTTTGAATGATTATTAGCTTATTTCATCTTAAAATATATATATTAAACATTTATAACTAAAGTTATTATGGATAGATTTAAAAAATTGAAGAATTGTAGAATTTAATGATCAAATATAAATATTTTTTATAATATATTTTATTAATTCTATTATATATTTATTATACTTATTACCAACACTCACAATTTTTGTTGGGTCTGCCACTGGTTGGACTATTCATAGTAACAAGGTGCATCTACCTAATTTTTCGGCTGACTATCCCGAGATTAATCCAAAGTTAAACATACTGACTCTAGATCAATCTTATGACGACCTATTGAAAAATGTCTTGATATGCGTACGAATGAGTATATAACACATTGGAAGGTCCCGTATAGTTTTGTGAAGACAGTCTCGACGTTTGGTAGTGGCTGCGAGTCGTTACAGATGGTATCAGAGTCGGTATTCTTCCAATACAGTGTGATTTGAGGACGAACCAAGTAGAAGATGGTGGATCTGTGACATCTCGAGATAGGATGAAGATGGAGAATGATCGCCGATGCAGATGACACAGACAAATAACAACTCTCCGAATACTGCCAAACCAGATAGGTATGAGCGATATATAGATATGAGGCTATACGGCCTAAAATAATATAAAAGAATTAGTTGGACTACTAAATAAAAAGGTGCACCTACCTTTATATAGGTATGAGACTATACAGTCTAAGATAATATAAAAAAATTAGTTGGACTACTCATAGTAAAAAAGTACACCTGCCTTTTCGGTTGACTATTTCGAGAGAACTCAGCGTCCTAACTCTAGAACAATCTCAGGATGTGTGACTAATGAAAAGTGTCTTTCAGTATACGTTCGAGGAAAGACAAAACACGATAAAATATCTTGTGTTACTGTGTGAAGATAATTTCGACAATTCGTAACGACAACGGATTGTTACACCATGATACTCAACATTCATTCAGAGAACATCCCCACCCCAATGTTCACCGTAAATATCCATGCAAAATCAAAACCGCAGCCCAAAAAAATCTTAAATGTTTTCACATATGTAAAAACGCTCATACGAACAAAACATAACATAACATAACTGATAACCCCTTTGGGGTTGAAGATTCTAACCCAAAAAGAAAAAGACAGAAAACGAAATGAGATGTTAAATATCTGTAACGAAAGACATACCTTTGGTCCGACATATCATATGATAAAGAGAGATTAAAAAAAGAAAGATCCCAGAAGACAGAATTTACAGTTAGAGAAGAGATCCAAATCACGGATGGCTGTTCTGTCTCTGAAAAAAAAAAAAACACAGATCTCCGGCTATTTGTATGGAAAGCCTTCATTCGATCTCTCTTTTCGTTCTCACTCGTCAGGATCATCCTCAGCTAATACCCCCCACAAAAAAAAAAAAAACTTTTTTCTTACTTCCGATCTGTATCTGTTCCTTTTCTTCTGCCTGTATAATCTGAAAATGCCGTTTAGTTTTCCTACGGATCCATCGATCTCTTCCACGAGACGAGCGATTTAAGAAACTCCATCACCTGAGAGATGCAACAACGTTATATTAAAGCCTTAAAAACCATTTGGATTGTTTTCAATTTCATATATATACCTCGGAAGGGTCTCTGAGAGAGAAGAAGGCATTGCTTTCCTTTGGCACAGCCGAGACTAATACTCCATACCCACGATTCTTCCCCTCCCTCAGTACCTGAATCATTCGTTACTTGCTCTCTAAGTAAACCGAATATCGAATATGGCTAAGAATGAGGAAAGGGGCGTGTATCAGTGTGTGTGTGTGTATGTATATATACCTTAAATGCATCTTCATCTGTTCTGTCATCCCCTACGTAGATGGGAAGTACATCTTCGCAGTCACTAAGCCCTGGAAAATGCTTTCCCGATGGTAAATAAATACAGGAAGCCGGGAAAATTCATAAACCCTAAGGCAACAGAAGAGGAAGAAGCATTTTACCTAGCGATTCTAGTAGAAAGATGACAGCTTTCCCTTTGTCCCAATCAATCACAGGCCGAACCTCTAAAACCTTAATAAATAAAAAGCTAGAGTTTGAGATTCAGTGTCGAAAATATATGATTTTAGTCAGGAAGATGTCGCGGTCTGTACCTTACGGCCATGCGTTAGACGTAGCCTTGGATAGTTTCTAATGACATTGCCCACACACTGTGCAACCACAGGCCAGTTCTGAAGAACAGAGGATTTCAAAATGTTTATTTAAAGATTTACACGAAATGGGTTCGAGGAAAAATGTTAAAGGGCTCGAATGTTTCCTTTGATCGTACCTTCTCTTCTACGTTACGATAATGCACTGACACACAGAACTTGTTGTTCTCAACTTTCGCTCCTTTGATATCTTTTGTACCTTCAACCAGTGAATTGAAGACCTGAAGCAGATGCCAATTGATCAGGCAGATGATATTTGACAAGAAACCCGATTCCATATCATTTAAGACACTGTATTTATAGCATATGATTGGCCATTTAACCTAGAAGACGGGTTATATTGATTTCAAGACAAAAGATATATCCTAAGACACTGTATAATAGCATATGATCAGCCATTTAATCTTGAAGATGGGTCATATAGATTTCAAGACAAAACATATACTCAGTTATGATCATCTTAGGCCATCAAACGCTGTTCTGCTGTTGGAAAATAATAGCAAGATTCGTAAACTTGGACATGCTTACTGAGGAAATAAAATTTACCCACATTAGATGCTTCACATACCTTATCAATCGTCGGTAAAAACTCGCTAGCTGGCTGGAACAAATTCACATCCTTTCCCTATATATTTTTCGTATGTTTCTGTCAGATAAAAAACAAATGCAGAAGCATGCAGATATATTGGTTCGAGGGAATCATATTAAACCTGTTTGTTAATAGATCGAGTAGAGTCCGGATGTTCAGGACTCATGATGTCCATCCCGTGACTTCCGGCGTAATAAAGTTCGTTCAATCTCACAAACTCATACACCTAATAGTGCAGATGACCCACATTTCACAATAAGGAAAACCAAGAAATCCTTTAGAGGAAAGCAGAAAGATGAAACTAAAGTACAGTACCTTATCTCGGCTTCTTCCGCTGATTATAGCGGTTGGGAAGTGCTTGGCAACGGTTCGTACAACGTTACGCATCTAAACGGGTTAAGACAATGATCAAAACGATGAAACATTAATGGGCATGAACAGAAATGGAAATGTTTTCCATGATTGAATCCATCAATGGGAAGGTAACTTACAGTGGTGGACATGAACGCGGAATCAGGATCTTCAACGATAGGTGAAAGGGTCCCGTCATAGTCAAGGAACAAAGCTATCCTTTTGCCCTTTGCAGAACTCGCGATTTTCTCAAACGAGGCAAGAGCCGATGGATATTTGAGCTTCCAAGACCAAGAAGCAATGCCCATATCAACACGATGATGCTAACGTATGGAAAAAAAACGGGAAAAAGAGAGCAAAAATTATGGGACAAACCATCCAATTATGGTAAGCAATGTCCGAATCATTGCATGAAACATCATTGTAAGTGCTGTTGTCCTTGTTCACTTTGGATGGAGGCGGAGACGAGGCTTTCATAGAATCGAGCCAACTGTTTGACCTGACATCATCAAGAATCCCGGTTTTCTTCCTGGGAACGGTCAAGATTAGGTTCTGAGAGAGTGTTGTTGCAGACGATGGCGAATATGGGAGCCGATTCTGATGCATAGCCATTGCTAATCTTGAATTGCTGATGGGAGAATCCGTCATAACAGGAGAATTTTGACCAGATTTAATGTCCATGGTTGCAAATTTGCCGACGATACAAAGATCAGAATGCTAATGGCTTATGATCTCAAGAATGCTGAAGCAAGAAAGAAAAAGAAAAGTTCGGTTAGTCAATAATGAAAACTAACCGGTAATTCCAAGATGGCTAAGCTCAGAACTTCTTTGAGAACATAAAAACTCGGTAAGGTGATGCAGAAAATATAGAATGCAATAAATCACTCCTTATATAGACTGCAAACAAAATGAATCAAACTGCATAAGAGGGGGATCATCAAATAGGAAACAAACAAATGACATGTAGATTTTCCTCCTTTTTCGGGAGACAACTGTCTTTGTGCCGACGGTTTTTTTTATTTATTTATTTCACCTCGGTTAACAAATGAACGAGTCATTAGGAATGATTTGGATGTGTTGCAAATCTCGGAAGATATGACGCAAAACCAAAATGAGTGGAAAAGAAAGATTCATGCAGCCGACCCCAAATAAACTTGGGATTAAGGCGGTGTTGATGTTGACGTTGATTTCACTTCGGTTAACAAACAAGATGAGAGAACAAAGAAAGAATCATGCATTAAACACATCACAATGAGTCCATCCACATGTTAGGAAAACACACACGAATGTTGGCGAAACGCGAAAATGCGAGACAGATTCACATTGTGCGAATGATAAATCATCGTTTCGAAACAAAACAAATCGCTAGCAGACAAGATCATGCCACATGCAAGAAATGAAAATAAACGGTCCTGCACGTTGAATCCCAAGTCAAGGGCAAGTAACAAAGCTATTGTTTGGAGCAGCGACCGAGAGAAGGACGTGAGATTATCACTCCAATTTGACCGACGTGAAAATAGCAAGCGAACAAAAGGGTTGAGACAAAACACGAGTTCTAATCAGAAAGTTAGGAGACAACTTTCAACAGAAGAAGCATATAGATCGGCTTAGTGATCACATGGCTAAGAAGGCATCACATTTGGTAGAAACAGAAATAGAACAACAGGAAAGGCGGGTTTTTGTGCTAAAAGCCAAGCCTATTGAGAGACAATGGATCGTGGAAATGTTGTAAAAAGGGATGAATCCAGGATGAAACTTACAAGAATTAGGTGAAGAAAAATACAAAACAGAAACTTTGCCCAATAATGGCGAATTCAACGGTGAACAAAGCCACTAGTTTGAACACCATAAAGCTAAATCCTCTACCCCACATCCTCAGCAAGAAGAAACAGTATTATATATACCATTTACATTAACCAGAGAAGCTCCGAACACAGAGATTAATGACCATTGACCTAAACATGGTTCTTAAATGAATCATAAATGAAGCTTAGGACCCATGAAAATTGAAGATATGTACAGCGAATTTACACCTAGAAGCACCATTACAATCGCCATTGAAGGAATAAATTATGTACCTTGGAGGTCAAGTTTCCTATACCACTTGCAGAAAGGACAATGAAACATGTAGACCCACCATTGAAACGTGTAGAGCACAGAGATTGTATCATTCCCAAAAAAATTCAACCACAAAATCATACCAAAGACTCTAAATTAAGTACTGATCCAAACCCTGGAAAAGGTCGTAACGTCGATTTTCCATTTTTGTTCGATCTATTGTCCAAGAGACAGAAACCCAGAAACAGAATCTGCTCCGTAAGCGATTCAGACATTCAATCATACAAGAGACATGCATAACCTTCGTAGGTTTCTTCAAATGGGTTTGTTCGGACAAAAGACGGTGAAAAGAGGCCGAAAAGAATCAATCGAACAGAAAATTTCTTAGGGCTCCAATTTTGAGAAGGAATCGTCGGGATAAATGTTGTGTAATTGCCGTTTTGACGGAGAATCGGAGACGAACCTTGGCTAACGACCTCCTGGGAATGCAGAAACGACTACAAGAAACACAGAGCTACGACGCGGAAGAGACGGATGAGAAAAAGATTTCACTTTTCGTTTTCTTTCTCGCGGTTTCTCGGCTACCAAACAGGGTTTAAAAGAAGAAAAATGGCGATTTACAAAAGAGAGAAGACTGTCCTAATTGCCCATGGAAATCGCAGAAACAAAAACCAAAAAACCCTAAAACAAAGAAATCCTCTTTTTCCCAAAATAATTTTAAAAATCAAAATAGAAAAAAAAAACGGAAAATCTTTGAATAGACATATTTTGTATTTATAGTCCCATTCGACGGTTTGTAGAAATCGGGAGAAGATTTTCCAAACGTCTGCTGACGTGTGCGTGAACCACACGCAACCAATGAAATCAGCGCGTGCTAAACACTAACTACTATGACCGCGTGGCGTAACGTAAAATACCCAAGCATGGTGGTTGCAAGTTATATAACTCACAGTCACAGCATAACTCAATTAATGAATTTTCTAATTTTTCAAGTTGAGAGCAAAAAAACCGCCGAAAAAGTAGGACCCACATGAAAGGCGACTACGGTGAGTGACACGTGGCAACCCGCGCGTGACGACGACGGGAGTCGAGTCAGTCTGACGTGGCTACGTCTGACTCGTGGGTCCCACTCCGGGTGGTTTTGTTTTTGCCGTCGCTTTCCGTCACAGCTGGTGAAGAAGGTCGGTGACGGTTTCTGTAAATAAATGTAAACGACTTCAGAATATTATATATATTAAAAACATTTCAAATATAATAAAATCGAGAGAAATAATACATTTCATCTCATGAATTTCATTAAAAACAGTACAAATTATGTTTAATTTAATCAGATATTTTTGTATCAGATATCAAGTGAATTTATTAAAATTAGAGAATGAATTAAGTCTGACGTGGCAGGGCCAGGTGGCTGAGCGTGGGCTCCACGTGCTCGAATGGGATCGAAGAATTGTGGCCATACGATTCGTTTACGTGGCAAAGGAGATTGTGGTCCCCTCCGGTTTTCACCGCCACGCGCTTGTCCAACTTGGTGGCACCACCTGTGAATTTACCTTTTCACCTCTTTTTGTTTACCCCCAAATCGTACGGACGCTATATACACATATATATTAACCGTAAAACGAACAAAATATTTTTACTATTTTGTTAAAAGTTTTGAGTGTATATAGCTGGGAGTAATTGCGGGTTTAGATAATTTTTTTGTTAGATTGAAGCATTTATTATTTAAAAGAATGGAGCATTTTAATCCGTAGACTATACAATTTTTAGATTGTGAATTAAATTATTTGCAAGCGGTAATAAATCCATGTGTAGACTAAACCAAATTATTGAATATCATAGCATGCATGCAATTATCGCGTTCTTAGTAAATACTATACAAAGTTAATAGGAGATGATTTTATATTGTAGTATAGATAATATATATTTCTATTGACTTATTCGAATATTCTGCTGCTCAGAAACAAACTCTATTTGTATAAATACTTTCATACCTATAAATTTTCTTTTTAAAAAATATGTTATTAGGGTTCGTGTAACTTATTTGGAATATTGAAGCGTTTGCTAAAAATGCTCTACGTTATTTATGAATTCGAACTCTGGCGACAAAAGAGAGATTCTCCTAATATTAATAAAGTTCCTAATGCCAATTTTATATTTAGATTTATATTATTAATTAATTGCATGACACAGAAGAAAACGTTAGTCTCAATTCAAAGTATTCCCTCCGTTTTTAAATAAATAACCCATTTAAAGGATATTTTTTTGTTAGATGTGGTTTTAGATTTTTTTAGATATCTTTTCAAAAAATTACAAGTTTATCTGTAATTAAAAATATTCAATTTTAATAGAGTGATAATGAAATTGTGATTTAACGATGATATGTATGATTTGTTTTACATATTTTTTTTATATTTTATTTTCTTAAGAATTGTAGTAGTTAAAATGGTCCAAGGAAGGTCGGGTCAAACGGAGAACATGCAGAAAGTGGTGCGATATTAAATTTAACCAAACGGTCAAAGATTCTGACAGGAAAACGACAAAAAAGTAACCATAAGAAGAAAGAGATTTGGCTTTTCGAGGAGATGCAGGGTTATGTATCTTTGGTCCACTTGACAGTTTGGTTTCTTTTATTTACTTTTTAATATCATTTATACATATAAATTTTAATTTAAGAAAGTTTTGTTACATTATTTTGGGGGTAATACGATGAAATTAAAATGCGAAGAGATCTTTTGGGAACTGAAACTGACTGTCGGAATCTTCTCCACCTACTCTATTTTTTCTCCATCTTTGTTTTTTATAATTAATTTAGGAATCATATTTGTATATTTAAACACTAAATTTAGCCAAATAACTATAAGATCCACATATATCGTCCAACAACTCCATTCTTTATGCAATTTCGTTTGACCTTTGACGAACTAATTAACTCCATTTTTTCATGTATATAATTTTACGTAATCACTATTATAATGTAAACAATAATTATATTTATAGAAATATTTAGATTATCTGTTATATTTTTTTTTGGGTCATTTTTTAAAATTTATAAAAATTATACTCGTTCGATTTTTTCAAGTTTTTAATTTGACTCAAATTATAGTCGTAATAAAATAAATTTAGTTTTTATTAAAATTTATTAATTTATTTTTTTAAGAAAATTTGACATTCTTAATAGTTTTTTGTGTTTTTATTTTTTGTTTTGATCGTATTAATTTGATTCAATTGGGATATCATTATAACTTTTCACCCCTAATTATATATATACTCTACGATCAATAGATACGGATTATTTGCACGTGACTATTAATGACACCGGATAAATAAATTAATTATGTTCAAGAATCATGAATCATACCAATCTTTTCTTATGTTAAAAACGTTAGAATGCAAATGGAATTTCGAGGACACGTGATATTTTTTTAAAGAAAAATATAATAGAAATAGTAGAGAATTGGAATACGAAGTAGAAAATCAAGTGTTTCATTTCTTTGACCAAATTAACGAATTGATTTTTTTTTACCAAATCCAAGAAAACAAGCATGTTTTGGTCAAAGCCTTGTACCTTTTCGTATGTGTTTCTTAAAGATACGTACACAAGTATATGTATTCCGTACGGAAGTATAATACCTCACGTAAAATCTTCTTTATGTCCACTGAAAACTTATTACGTACGATCCATGCAGCAAAAGTTGGAATATTGACACAACACATACATGCAGATATATATATATATACATATATATATATATATTGGGCCCATGATTGCACGAGAAACATTGCTAATGTATTGGATCAGTGATGGGCTTATATTGGGGCTGAAGATCCAACGGTGTGTAGTAATTACAAATATTATATTTATTTTATTTATTTTTTTGGATTGAGTACGGGATGTATAAATCGACACTTTTTAACTTTATATATTTAGACTAATCCTTATTTATTTCGGGGTCAAATAAAGTGTATATATATATATATATATATATATATGTATTTTGGATAACCGGATATCTTAAACCGAGACTCATATTAATCCCGGGATGGAAGCAAACCGAGACTCGAATTCGTAACGAGAGACAACACTTTACGTCTTCGTTTTACCGGTTGAACTATCCAAGTTGGATTTAAACAAGTATACTTATCATTCACAAAAGATTATATTTTAAACAAATTTATCGGTATAGTCGAGTCATCATCGTAGATAGATTAAGATAAGTTTTTGATTGCAGCGAAAATGTTGGATTTTCTTTTTTGCCATTTTCTAATCCGCAAAATATGAAAACTATGATTCAGATTCTACACATTATATCAAGAGAAGGAACGATTAAAAATCAAATCAATGGTCCACGGACGATGGGAACAAGAGTCTAGTTTCCATGTTTTTACCTATGACATGTAAATTATTAATAAATATTTTTTTAAAGGTCAAAAGAAAATCTTCAAACCAATGACCAAGAAATATCCCCAAGCATAGACTTTCCTTACCATTAGCCTCCACAAAGAAAAAAGACAAGAGATGGGAAACTACATGTTCTTACTTACTAATACAACATGATGTTAGTTTGTAACATGCAGATGTATACGTCAAAATTTGTACGTATTTGTAACAACGCATCAAGGAATGGTTATGTAATATTCGCATGTAGAACCACTCAGAGAGAGATGAAGTGAAAAGGCTTTCAGTTATGGCGAGGAGGCCGAGTGGATGGCTTTGGATAGTCGGCGTAGAACTCTGGAGGATGAGGATGGGGCTGATGGTCATGTTTCACTCTCTGTGAAACCCTAGCCATGCTCTTTCTCTGAACAATTCTCGAGCCTTCTTCGATGGAGTCCTGAACTGGTGACCCTTTGAAATGGTTTTCACCAGCTTTCTCTGTAACCCTAACCGAAGAAGCCTTAGGCAGATCCTGTTCCACCACAGGAAGAAAGTGAACATGAGTCTTGAGGACATTAATGGAGTGAAGGGAGCTACCAAAGAAAAAAACATGGATCGAAACCTTGGATTGTGTCTGAAACCTGAAACCTGCAATGGAAACATGATCGAAGATCCCGACGTGACGAGAATCGCAAGCATGGATGAATAGAAACATGACAAGGAACGAAGCAGCATGAACCGAGCTCATGGGGTTAACAAGAAAACGATTCGAAATAACCCTCTTGAAAATCGGTGTTCGAGGGACTAATGAGAGAAGATGATATTAAGGAACGTAACAGGAAAGGACCCTACAAGTTTATATAAAATGTGCAAATTCATGCGTGAGAAAAAAAGCATAAGATAAAGTAATGTTTCCTCAATCCAGATGAATAAACAAATACAATGAAACACAAGGGAATGTAGCGTCAAAAAAAGGCCGAAAATGAAATCAAAACCGATGCGAATACGTAGATTTAGGAAGGGAAAAAAAGGCGACGGGCGAGTCAAAGGGACAAAAACACACGAATAGGAAACCCGACCTCGACGAAAAAACGTGTGATTTTATGTTTATGTCTCCAAAGACATTTATTGACCATTTCCCAATACTTACAGACCAAACAGTAATACTCTCTATAAAACAATTGCTAGCTTCAATTCATATTATAAAATTTGTAAGAAACCTTTAAAGGGCATTACTTTAAATTAAAAGGATGCAACTTTACAGTTTTTACCTCGAAGGAAGATGACTGTTGTCTACCTAAGAGAGAAACCAGACACGAACCCCGAAACATCTTGTCTTGGAAAAGCCATGTATGTCTCCTCAGATTGCTCGAAGTCTGCGTTCACAAACAAGAACATAAGAAAAACTATTACCTTAGTATTTGCTTTGCTTTGTATGAACTTCAAGAATAGATACGATCAAGAACTCCGGCGTTCGGACCAAAGATTGTCTCCTCGAGAATCTCTTTCCTCCCTACACAGAAAGGGCAAACCCCTGCAAAAACTCTAGCTCATGCTGTATAAAGGAAAACTTTTTTCAGAGAAAAAGATTCAGCGAGATTTCACACATTTGATATTAGACACAGCTACTGGGTTAATACCAATACATTTCGATTGACTTTTTTTTTTTAATTGTAAATTATACATTGTTATACAGGTAACCCGGGATTGAAGCCAAGGTGAGACTGTGATGGTGGAGAGATATCTCCGACCAGCCAAGGCCTAGACTTCAATGAGTATCCGGCATTAAATTTTTTTTTTGGGCAGATAAGGCTGTGTCCTGATTCACTTTATCTTACACTGGTATCTTCAAGCTTGAAACTGACGACCTCCAGACTTAAAAAACCGTTATTACATCTGGAGAAGATTGTTCACTGTAACCGCAACAGAATTTGTTCTCTGCAGGTCCTGCAAAAATTGAGTTGTATTAGGTCTTAGTATCATGTCAGTAAAAAAAATGATCCATCAAGCTCAGGAATGAGAATTCTCTCTCACAAGAAAAATATGAAATCCTTTTGTTTTTTGTGCAATCAGAAAACTACCCAAGTGACCCCCCTACCAGACACGAAGAAGTCGGTCCCTTGGAGCATTTACCTCGAAAATAATTTCATCTGGTACATGTGGGAGGACTTCCCTCACAGTCTCGGCCATGGCTAGAATATTCACCATGTTTTCATCCATGTTACGTGAGGCGGTTCTCAGATGCAGACCATCGGTTCTTCCACCAACACCAGGAGGAATGGATGCAGAAGAAGTTGATGCTTGCGAATGGTTCATCGGCCAGAGACCCCAAGCAACATCTTCAAATGCAGTTTGAGCATAGCTTTCCCCAACCCATGAATCAACAGTGCCTACAAAACACACCATTACGTGATAATGATCAACCCTCTGATTCTCTAATCACAATCCCAAAAGAAGAAAAGAAGGACAACATGTAAAATACTGAAGAAACTGATATCCTAAAGTACCTGCATCGTCTCAAAGGCTATACTGCATGGCTCATAAAGTAACAATAGATACACAGGCGAGCCAATTGTATTGTATATCATTAGAGAGAGCCTTATCCTGCAAAATTGACAAAAAAAAATACATTTAGCACTCAAAACATTGCTAAGCATAAATCACAAGCTTGGTATTAATCTTTCAACCAGAACATATTTGATATTTCGAACAGAGTTAATTAAACACATTTCCAGTTTCTCCTAGTTGAACTGCAGGGATAGTTCACATAATACCACAAGGTTAAAGGTAATACCAGAAGAAGTCAACAGAGAGAATGAAGAACAACGCCGAATACACATGGAAGTATGTCCAAGGTGTACAAGATGGAGAGGCGCTCAATTGTTCAAGCCGATCTCTAGCCAAAGCTTGAAACATCTACACGATATTAAAATATATGTGCTAAGACATCTAACAAGAAATTCAACCCTGTTAATCGTAAATCAAGAAAGCCAACATTTCCAATAATATGTGTTCCATACCTTCAGAGTGCACAGCACAGTCAGCCAGATCGTCCATAGGACCCCCTGAAACTAGTGAAAGAAACGTACCCTAGACAGGCAGCAATCAAGGAAGTTTTAATCTACAAATATCAAGAATACCCACATGATCTACAAAGAACTCCTACAGCAAATCAAAATGGAAATGCTAATGCAAGAAGATATAGAGGGGAACAGATTAAATCAATATAATATAACAGAGTAAATTGTCCAAGAACATCTTTTAAACCCTCAGAATATAAATGTTTACTCTTTTTCTATTAGACTGCCGCGTAAAGCAGAATTTATTACTTTTTCTCAAGTTGTCAGGACCTTCAGGCAGCAATATTATACCACCGGTAATACACATACACACCGGGCATAGCTTTTTTCTTCCTACGAAAGTCTACAGTCTTGCATCAACAGATGAAGTAATTACCTTGTAAATGACGTAATTAACAAGGCGCTCCACCAACTTTTTAGTTTCAACTGCATACAAATCTCTGAAAAATAGAGTCTGCAAGAAAAGTTCAAGAAGCATGAGAACCACACAAAATGGTCCAAAGCGATCAGTATGCAGCAAACCTATCCACAAAACTTAGGGTCTGAGGCCAATGAACAGTTTGAAAACCAACCTAAGAAGGTTTTTGAAGACCTCATAGCCATATTTATGCCTAAAGTTTTTTTTTCAAGATATGATAAAACGTCTTGGACTGAGATTGAAATACCAATCTAAGCAGGTCTGCCTAAAAGTAAAAAGTTTACAATTTCAAGTTCAACAGGTAGAAGTTGACCCTTACCTTTAGAGAAAGAGCCAGAAGAATATATACATTGATAGCAAAATTTGCAAGCAACGCAATTGTTGTGTAAGAACCCAGAAGCAGTTCAATGGCATGCTCAGAATCCCCTAAAGAAGTATTCTTGGCGATTAACCCATCTGTTCTTAGGCTATCCAGAGACAACTCTGCCCAAATTTGGAGGCCTACGAAGCTCAGAGCTGTTGATGCCACCGAAATTGGCAAATACCTTATGCCCATTACGAACTATTACCGCCTTCACATTGAATCCTATCCTCCAGAATCTCATTTAGTCAAATTAGCATGACTTAACCTGCATAAACACAATTTCTCATCTCATCAGTATTAACTTGGATGGACTAACAGACAAGTCCAGCGATCACAATGAACACAAGACAGAACTCTAAGACCATAAATTAGCTGGAAAACCAAGTTCTTCAAAGTGGTGCGTTTCACGCAGCGGATTCACACATCATCATGGTGCCAACATCAGAAATGCAAACACGCCTGGGCAAGAAGGGACTGTCCGGAAAAACCCTTTTGCATCGGAAGGATTATCTTACAGAATCTACAGACGACTGAGCTCCACAACATCAGACAACCAAAATTGGATTCTTGCAATTCTTACAAATTCATACGATGAATCCGAAAGAGAAAAAAAAAAATTCAATCCACGGCATCATCCATAGGTGACAATACGGATTGTTCCAGAGCGAAAATGCTACGCAGAGCTATGATCGATCCCATGATTCGCAGATTCAAAGCCACCGAGTCAAAAGTGACCATAAAAATTCAAATGGAACTGGGAAATTCATGGAACCGAAGGAGCGAAAGGAGCTGAAACGGGGGAGTTTTCCACTAGAATTTCGGCCGTCAGAAGGCAAACATCAGCAGACAAAAAGAATTCAAAACGATGAAGATCTCGATCAAATCGCGAGAACCTGATTCGCGAAAGCTGTCGGTTGAAAATTCTCTTCAGCAACGGCGATTGACCCACTCTGCCCCGATCGAGAAGGAAAAGCAAAAGAAAAAAATATTTTCACAAAAAAAATATATATTTTCGAGAAGCATAAGATGAAATAAAGAAAGGGCAAAAAGAAAATAGAGGTTCCTGAAAATAATTATTACGATAATCTTTATTCTTTACGTTAAATATTTCCCAATCACTGCAGTAAAATCCTAAATCTCAGTTACCTATTTCAATAAGCCAACACAATTAGTATTCACCCATTTTTTTTTTAACACGACCCATAATTCCTATATCAAGTTTAAAATATTTATTGTTTTCTTAAAACTTTATGGAAATGAAACTTTTTATACCGGAAAAACAAGAAAAAAATCTTAATTTCGTCTTAAAATAAAATAAAAAGTATTTTTAATAAAAATAAGAAAAATTTCATGAAAATACACAACTTTTACAAAATATACCAATGTAGAATGTTAATTTAATAAATAAGTATACCAAATATCGAAATATATATTAAAAAGCACATCAACTTTTAACATCAAATCAATTTTTTATAAGAATTGAAATATTATTTTGTATCATAATTTGTTTTAGATTCTAATTTTTAGGTACATTTTCGGATTTGATATGTTTATTTTGAAGTTCGTATATTTTACAAAATTCGTTTATTTTTACGGAATTATTCTAAAATAAAATATATAAGGGAGTAAGAAGTTTAAGTGGGCCTAAGCAAAGCCCAGCATACTGAGGTTAAATCGACATCACACTGTGTGTTTATTTTGGCAAAATCAGATATTTTTTTAGAAACTTTAGGGTTCCGTTCCCTCTGCGAGCCTTCCTCTGTGCGAATCTCCGAAACCAAAACCCTAATTTTTCCGATCGGAGTCTTAATCAGTGGCTCCAAATCCGCAATTACTATCGTATCGGTAGACGAGGAGAAGAAGATGGGGCTTATAAGGAGGAGCTTCTCGTTCATCGCGGGCACCGTATTCGGGATCTACGTCGCCCAGAACTACAACGTCCCCAACCTCAAAAAGATCGCCGATTCCACCTTCTCTACGGCCAAGCAAGTGGAGGAGAAGTATCGCAAGCCCAGGACCCGGCACGATGACTGACAGATTTCCACCGTCCTTTAATACTTCTTTTTTGTTTTTCTTTTCTGGGATTTGGGGTAAAGGGTTTGATTATAAAGTCACCATTTTAATTTTTTCATTTGATTCAATTCGAATTCTGTATTTTCGGTTTTAATGAGATCAATGTCAGTCCAGGTACTCGGAACCCTAGTTTCGTCAAAAGTTTGTTACTTGAGAAACAAGGAATCTAGGTGAAAAGTGTTCAGAAGGTCGAAACTTGGCGAATTCATAGGGCAATGAAACCAAACCATTTAGCTTAAAACGCCGTCGTTTTTATTTGACTTCTATGAATCGGACGTCACCCCTGTCTTCCTCCACCACCTTAGGAACCACCACCTTCAACACTCCGTTCTTCATCTCCGCCTTTATCGCCTCCGCTCGTGTACCTCCGGCCGCCTCCGTTTTCTTCCTCTCCGCCATTGCCTTCTCCTCTGATGACCAGAGTGTTGTTCTGCTCCAAGGCAAGTTTCACGTCCTCTCTGCCCAGCCCAGGCATGTCGATTCTCAGGTGCAGAGCGTCG